TTGGAATCTCCTACAACTCCTCTGGATGGTCTCCTTGTTTAAGTTGGTGAATGCTGCCATAATCCTTGTATTCAATTCATCTTTGGTGTTACAAGGAGTTTTGTTGGTCTCTCACTCAACTGTGCCCCACACATAATAATCAAGGGGGTTGCAGTCTGGGGAGTATTTGGTTACCTCCTCTTAATTTTTGAAACTTCTACTAGGAGTCACTCTTAGGAATATAAATGCTCAACAATATTTTTTCTCACCCTCTTCTCACCATATCCGCCTTTTTTGTCAACATGTAACCTATCGAGCAGAATGGATTCCCTTTGGGAAATGCATGAGCAAACCACATACTTACAACACACATATGTATGCACATTCATTCTCTACATATACTTTGCACCCAAAAAGTTTTCACATTTATTTGACACACATATCTTTGTCTTTGGCACTTGTAACCCTTTATTATTTATACATTATCATTTCTTTGTACAGATAAATTGGATCTTGTTGTTTCTTTACATGGACATATATCCCAAGTCTGTCATGCTTGTTGTGAGTATTTCAAGAGACACACATATTGATCTCTCAATGCATCCACTGGCCCACAAAAGAAGTTAGATGGCGAGATGTAATGAATGATGTACACAAATTGTGTGAGAGCCATGACTGGGTAATCTTACTTGTGTGGCATGGTGCAGGTCCTATATACATAGGATCTTCCAGAAGCCACCCTCTTGACCCACTGCAGCACTACCTCCTTAAGGCCCTTGATGTAGGCCTCTGTGTTGAATCTGAAGCCCTCACCAACAGATTTGGGAGTTCTTTTCTTCTTAGAATGATCAGTGACTATTAGATTTATCCAAATCCAAATCCTCTGCATTTTCCTCAGACTGACACCCAAACACTCTGAAACGTTTGTATTGAAGCTTCTGGTGCCAATGCCAAGCAGTACAGTATGTTGTTTCCAAATTTCTGGCAGAGTGAATTCTGTCATGGTACGCTTTTTCTCACAGATGGTACCTAACTGACCCTACTATACTGTGTAGTTGACAAAATAAAAAAAAACAATGCATATACATGAAATTAACAATATAAAAGGGATACAATTTACTGATTGCAAACTAACATGCCTGCTGTACTCTTGTGAGACATGGATTGTGTACTGCAAACATGTAGACACTCAGGAGAAATTCCACCAATGATGTTTTGAAGATAGATTCTTGGTATACACTGAATATCCCACATTTCAAACACTGTGGTTTTCAAAAAGGCCAATGCAATCAGTATTAAAGTGGATTCTCATTGCCACAGGCTTCATTGGGCAGGCCATGTCATTCAGTTTGATGGTAGCAGAATACCCAAGCATATGTTTATGGTGAGTTGCTCATGGTCTGGTTAAAAGAATCTTTTGCAACTTGCCATATCAAAGATCCTCAGTGAGAAACTGCTGCTTGCGATCAAAATAAGTAGAAGTGTATAATTCATGAAGGCAGTAAGATTCTTCAAGTGTTCTGCAAATCTCAAGTGTGCAGTTAAAAAAGGAGAAAGCATTGATCTAGTAATCCAGCAATTTACCTGTGATGAATATGGCAGTATATGTCTCTCCAATGCTGGCCTCCTTAACCACAAAAAGTGTCATATAGGTAGACCTTTGACAAATGACAATCTGCACTACACTGAGAATAACTTCAGAAAACTTGCAGTCTCACCTGTCACATAAAAATCCACGAGCAAAATGAACAAACTTTACAAAACAGGCCAGGCCCTGTACAGGACACCTTTGTTTGCACATCTGCAATAAGTATTTCAAGTTACCTGCTGGCTTCAAGAATGACAATGGTTCTTGAAGTCAGCAGGTGACTTACTAAAAACAATGATCAGAAATGGTCATACTTGTTAAACAACATCATAACAACATCAACAATCATAATGTATGTATGTATATGGGTGGATGGTTGAGTGGTAAGAATGTTACAATGTGTCTGGGATTCAAATCTCACCATCTCACAAATTCAGGAAGGTTGATATTATTATTCTGGGGAGGTGTGTCAATTTGGAAAGGGCATGAAAACCATGCCACAGGTTAACTCAAACTTTGTGAGTAAAATTGGTCAGGCAGAGCTATTCAGAAAATGTGGATGTTTGCACAAAGTCATAATTCATTAAGATGAAGAGTTTGAGCTCATAACAGATTAGGCATTCTTTCCTAGAAACTCAAACTAAAGTCCACTCATCATAAGTGCAGTATAAACCAGAGATGGGCTTCATGAGTCTTGAATAAATACAAATATGCCTGAGCAGGCCTCTGCAAAAGGGACTGACTAGCCACCCAAGCAGAAAGGTGTACTCAGAAAATGAGAGTAGCCAGCCATTATCTATCTATCGATCTATGTCAGACCTTTCCTGTGTATCTATCTTTGTTCATATTTAAGTGTGTTCATCTAGATATCTGTCTCTCTATCTATCTATCTTTCTTTCTCTCTCTCTCTCTCTCTCTCTCTCTCTATATATATATATATATATATATATATATATATATATATATCAACCTTTTTGTTCATATATGCTTTAGTTTTCATATCTACTTCACTATCTATCCTTGCATCTTAGTGTGTTCATAACTGTCTATCTATCTATCTATCTATCTATCTATCTATCTATCTATCTATCTATCTATCTATCTCTTTGTTTATATTTAATAGTAATCATTCACTGACCAAACAGCCAATGCTGTTTTTAGTTGAAATTTATAGAATTTCTCTCTTAAAACAATTTTTCAGGAAAATAGGTTTCCCAAGTCCAGTAGTTGTTATCACTCTTTCCAGTACTAATTGGAAGTGGGGCCCTTTCTTGCTTTTTGATCAAAGTAGTGTAATCAGCATCTTGATTATGTCATTATTCATTCTTCAGGTTACATGTGCTATCCATTTTAGCTGTTGCTGCTGTTGGTAGTCTTCAAGTAATGTGGTTTCTTTTATTTGGTACAGTATTTTTCTTTGGGATTATTTAGCACCAGTTATTGAGGTTCAAAGGAGCACAGGCTTCACCAAGACCCACAGGCTTCACTTGCTCAAAGCCATTCTTAATCACTGATCTGAGAAAGCAGTGGTATACAATTTGTTAACCATGTTCACCATAGTCTATGAATATAGAATACAGTGCAGTACGTAATCTGTTCAATAAAATAACATTAAAGATTAATACTCACAAGTCAGACACTCTACTGAATCCGTCTATATCACCAATACCACAAGCAGCTGTTCTATAATTCTTCAGTCTTTGATATCAAGGGCTGGCTGTCAGTGAATATTTGTGAAAAACTGCCTTTATACACGTTGCATTGAATATTTTGAGCCTTCTGATTGGTTAACCCTTCTATTGGTGAACTATAAAATGAGTCAGCTCATTTTGGCTGGCTCACTAGTACCAAGGTAACCAAAAATTCTAACACAATTGACAGTTTAAATATTTTTGAATGAATTTGGTGCCATGCATGTCATCCATATGAAAGTTTTGATCTGATGAAGCTATTATTGCTCTTTCTAGTATTGATGTTGTTGTGGGGGGGGGTCCTTATTAACCTTTTATTTGAAGTCATGTTGAAAGTCAGCATCTTGATTATATCATTATTTTCTCTTCAAGTTATATGTGGTATCCATTTCAGTTGTTGTGACTATTGAAAGTCCTTAAATGATGCAGTTTCTCTTATCTGGTAATTCTGTAGTTCCAGTCCATGCAGTTTAAAGAAGGATGGTCCTCATGGAGACTTAAATGCTTCACTCAAAGCCACTTTTAACCATCAATCTGAGAAAGCGGTTGCATAGAGCTGACAATTTAGATATTTATGAATGAGTCTGGTGCTCTGCATGGCATCCATATGAAAGCATCAATCTGATGAGACTATTTAAGAAGAAAAGTTTGTAGATCCATTTTTGGTTATGCAGCAATTTACAGTATTGTGTGAAACTACTCCTAATACAGCCTATTCTATGTTTCATTTCCTTGTATCCTATACTAAATTTGTAATAATTCCTTGATATACCAAGATGTGTGAAGTGGTTACTAATTCCACATCCTTAATTTTTATGATGAATTCACCTATATTTTTTTTAAATCATTTCACCCCTAGCAAGGTGGTAATGTCACTAAGACACAGGGGGTTACAGGGAGTGAAAGAGAATGAGAAGTCTTTTAATGAGGAGAAGGGAGGAAAGGACAATAAAGGAACAGGGTGCAGGAAGACAGAAGATCGTGATTCACAGTGCATTTAAATTTTTGAAGATTGTAGGTGTCTGGGATGCAAGAGACAGTAAAACAGTGAGACCTACTTGCCAATCATGCAGTCAAGGCATCCAAGAGGAAGCCTCTTAAGAAAAATTTCCATTAAAATGTTTGTAGAAAAGACAGAGGGAAGCCATGTCATGTTGGTGAGAAAGGGACTGAAGTGAAGATGCTAGGTGAAGACCAATTCCATTACAGACCCTCCTTTGAATTTTGTCAAGAATCTTGTGAAATACACCAGAAGCACCAGACCAGATATGTCAATGTACAGACAAATGGTAGATTTATAAATATGCATGATGGATTCTGACAAGAAAAATCTTCTGGCACAACACAGAGAAGCAACTTTCTTTGCAGTAGTCATAGCAGTTGTTTCAATATAGTCACTCAAGTTCATGTGAGTGAAAAATGTGAGCCCAAGAAGGCACAACGTGTTCTTAATCATAGTTTCTAGTGATAGAATAATGATGGGTTTGTGATGCTGCTTCTCTTTGAAAGAGGCTGCAGAATGGGAAATAAATTGTGCAACAAATATATACAATGGATTGAAGTTTCTTTATTGGGCTGGGTCCCAAGCTGAATTACATTTTCTGTCAGCTTGGCACTGGAGCTTGAACTGAAGACTATTGGTAGCTGTTTGAAAGTGTCATCCTCAGAGCCATTACTAAAAGAGAAGAAAGACAAAAGAGTTGATAAAGTGCAAATCAAATATTCTGTAGAAAAGCTTAAGGTCAAAAGATTAGAAAGAAGAATGATGCGGAAAGAGATAATAGGTGAAGAACAATGGAAGAAACTGGTCTGGGAAGAAAAAGGAAGAAAAGAAAAGAAAAGAAAAAAGAATGGATGATAGCAAGAAAAAATGAAAACAAAGAAAAGAAATTTAAAGTGAAAGTAAAAATGTAAGCAAGAAAAAAAAAGAAAGAAAAGAAATTTAAAGAAAGAAAAAGAGAAAGAAAGAAAGGATGGATGAAAGCAAGAAAGGAATAAAAACAAAAAAGAAAGAAGAAAATAAATCTAAAGTGAAAGTAAAAGTGAAAGTAAAAGTGAAAGTAAAAATGTAAGAAAAAAGAAATAAAAGAAGGATGAAAGCAAGAAAGAAATAAAAACAAAAAGAACAAAATTTAAAGAAATAAAAAGGAAAAAGGGTGGATGAAAGCAAGAAATTGATAAAAACAGAAAGAAAAGAAGGAGAAGAAAGAAGAAAATTAATTTAAAGGTAAAGTAAAATAAAAGAAATAAAATTAAAAAGAAAAAAGTAAAAAAAATCAAAAAAGAAAGACTAAACAGAAAGAGTAAAATGAAGTGAAATAAATTAGAAAGACAGGAAGAACAGAAAAATAGAAAAGAAAAGGAAGAGAATAAATTTAAAAGCAAAGTAAAAATGAAAGAAAGGAAAAAGAAAGTTTGGGAACTAAATGAAAATAAGTGAAAGAAAAATTATACAAATAAAATTAGATTTTAAGGAATTATTTTTTAAAATAAACAACAAAAGAAAAAATAAATTTAAAAAACAAATAAGAAAGAAATTAAATAAAACAGAAAAAGTAAAAGAAAAGAGAAATAGAAAATGAAAAGAACTGAAAAATAAATAAAAAGTAAAAAATATTAGAAAAAAAAAGAAAAAATATTAGAAAAACTGATATTGAAGTAATGAAGAAAAAAGAATGAAAAATAAATTAGTAAAAGTGAAGAAACAAAGTGAAAAGGGATGAAAGAAAATATGGAAGAAGTCAAATTAGGATAAAAACTGAAAAAAATAGGACAGTTGGAAAACAAAGAAGATGAGAAAAAATAAATTGAATATGATGGAAAAAGGAAAGAGCAAAAAGAAAAATGACTGAAGAAGAAAATAAATATTAAGAAAGGAAAATAAAATATTGAATATCAAGAAAGAGGAATGGATAAAACATTTTGGAGATGACCTGGAGGAATGAAAAAAGGAAAAATAAAAAAGAAATATTTAGAAATAAAAGGAAAATCTGTCTGAAAATAATGCAGGCAAAGAGAAATATAAGAATTTATTGAAGTAGGAACAAAAAAGACAAAATAAATAAATATTTACTAAAAAAGTAATAAAAAGGAAAAAGAAAAAAAAAGAAGCTTAATTGAGGAAAGAGAAAAATGAAAAAGAGAGCAAAAATACTGAATGAAGAAAGAAATATGAAAAATGGAAGAAAAAATTAGTTGAAAGAAAAAGTGAGGCAAAAGAAATGAAAGAAAGCAAGAATAGAAGGAAAACAGTAAAAAAATAAAATAAAAATAAAAAGTATAGAAAATGAAATAAAGATGAAAACAAATAAAGAAAGAAAGAAAGAAAGAAAAGAAAATGATTAAAAATGAAAGAAAAAGAAAGCAATGGATAGAAAATACAATAAAGAAAGAAATGAAAAAAAGAAATAAAATGAAGAAACTGGTAAAAGAAAGATAGAATGAAAGGGAAAGCAAAGTAGCAGACAACAAGTTTAAAGAAAAACATTGAAGATTTTAAGACCAAAAGAATAAAAGAACAAAAGATAAAATTAAAAGAAACTGAAAGAGAAAAGAAATGAAACAAAAGTAATGAAAGAAAGAAACAGATGAGAAAAGATAAAATGCAGAAAAACTGAATGAAACAGCTAAAAAAAGAAACTGTAGGTATAAATGCCCTGATGAACAAACAACAAAATTGAAAGAAAAAAAAATGATGAAAGAAAGAAATTAAATAAAAAAAACAATGAAAGAAAGGAACAGATAAAAAAATATGAAATCAAAGAAATGAAACAGAAACAAGATGAAAGAAAAAAGAATTGATGATTTTAAGACACAGTTTAACAAATGAGAAAACTGAAAGAAAAAAGAGATAGACAGAGAAAACAAAAGCAATTAAAGAAAGAAACAAATGAAGAAAGATAGAATTCAAGAAAAAAAGCAGTTAAAAAAATGAAATGGAAGTTATAAATGGTACAGATAAACAGAAGAGAGAACTGAAAGAAAAAAGAAACATGGCTGCAAAACAAAGAAATGGCAAAATAAATAAATAAATAAAATGAAAGGAAGAGAATGGAAATTTCAAGAAAGAAAGAGAATCTTAAAAAGTCACACAAAAGTCAGAGAGAAAAGAAAGAAAACGTTTGAGAATTAGATAGAAAGTGAACAATGCATAACTAATGAGAAAAGCTTATAAAGATTACAAGGTGGTTGATGTGAACTCATGGAAGGACTATGAAAGTAGTCTTCCAATAAGCTATTCTGGCTAAGTATGGCCAGTGTTCAAACTGTCCACATCTACCAGCAACACGAGCTGCAGATATGGAGGGATAGGAACTACATTGGGCACAGGGATTATAATTTGCATGAAAATAGCTTGAAATTTTCTTTAAGGCACATTACAATCTAAGAACAAGTGTCATAGAGCGAATGAACAAAACTTTAACAATTCAGAAGATAAGAGTATAAAATTCAAATTGAGTAGAAAGGTTTAAGTCATGTTCGATTATTCATACAATTATTTTGGGTTTTGTCTTTAGTATTAGTGAAATTGTCACAGTTCTTTTTAGAAGGAGAATTTTACATTTTAATTGCTGCCATATTTCTAACTAGATCAAAATTTTTTATGATTAGAGTATATTTTATTTTTAAAAATTATTTTTTTTTACACTATTTGTATTTTTCAGACTGTTGTCATCATCTTTATTGTCGTCACATTCACAATGTTTCGGCCATTGTATGCTCTGGCCTTCTTCAGATGATATTTGTTTGAATTTTGAACCAAACCCAGAATAGTCAATCTGTATATTGGTGTTAAAGATTCACTATTCTGGGCTCAGTTCAAAATTCAAACGTATATCACCTAAAGAAGGCCGAAGCGTACAACAACCAAAACAACTGTCCGAACAATGTAAATAGCATAAATAGTTACAATAGTCAGAAATATAGATTAAAATTATTTTGATTCTAAAATTTTGATTTTTAAATTCATGAGTTTAATTCCTATATTTTAGTATTTCCATTTATTTATTTTTAATGCTTTTATTTAAATTTATTAGTTTTATTATTAAATGTAACATAATTATTAAGTATGGGTCCTATATGAAAAGATGAATTTTATCAAAGTTGGTGCAACAAATCACTCAAGAATTAATTTTAAGCTGGTTGGGATCAAAATGAAAACAAAAGTCAGAGTAAAGCAAGAACAACAAATCAAAGAATGCATATTTATTTGTTTTTACTGTAAACCATAAACCAATAAATAAGTTTATACCATAAGCCACTAAATAAGTTTTTACCGTAAACCAATAAATAAGTTTATACTATAAACTAATAAATAAGTTTATACCATAAGCCAATAAATAAGTTTTTACTGTAAACCAATACATATAAGTTTTTACCATAAATCAATGAATAAGTTTTTACCGTTAGCTAATAAATAAGTTTTTACCGTAAACCAACAAATAAGTCTAAAGAAGACGGTAAAACAAGTCATCATTTTTGGAATTATTTATGTTTTTTTATTTATTAAACTTTCGGTAATGTTTACCCTGTAGTGAGACTAAGAGCTGAAACAGGAAGTTACCTCTTTCATAGCTTAAAACATAATGACATATTTCAGGCTTTGCGCAACAGGCTCTATGCATAACTTCCTGTTGAAGTTGATTAAATACAATACTAAATAAATATGTGTTGACCAATAAGAAATGAGTGTGCATGAAATAATCAACAACTTAATCGGAGCCGCTTTCAACTTTGCTAACAATAGAAATAGACGCCCTGTCTAAAAGAAGAAGAGATTCCAACAGGAGACACACAAAGAAGACACAGAGAGACAAACACTTACAACTGTGAGCTGATTCATCAAAGGCATCTCAGCTTCAACAAACACTACCCACACCTCACACCATCCTTGTCATTTTCACCCCTCTTAACTTCTCTCATACATTCTACCTCCTTTTTATTATTCAGGACATATTACCAAATGAAACTAGTATTTCTCAAAAATACTTAAGTACTTTCACAAACTCTTGTATTCATTGAAATGTAATAAAATAAAAAAAATTATTTAATCTTACTTAAATAGCAACCTTGTGCCATCTATGAACATTACTACTGTTTTTGTACAATACGAAACTACTTATTAATGTTTATATAAATTATTATTGTTATACTCCAGACTTGATTGTTCTTAAGATGTAGTTTATTGTGTTTTATTAACTCATTTATACATCCCTTATAGTGAGCTAATCCTAAGAAGGCTCAAATCGAACCCTGCAAATAACCCACTATAACCCTTTTCATTATTCGGACTATTGTCCTCATCTTTGTCGCCATATTTATTACAACATTTTGGCCATTGTACACTCCAGCCTTCTTCAGGTTGGAATGTCAAACGTAACCCTTTATTTCGCTCACTAGGGTAGGCTGTTCTAGTTCCATGTGCCAACGACTATTTATCCACTGTGCCATGTGTCCTCAAGGACACATGGCACAGTGGATAAAGGCATTGGTTAGATCCAGTGACAGGACCCAAAAGGGTGTGAGTTCGATACCAGGTTAAGGCAGTGGAGAACTTTCAGAGGGAAATTAACAGGAGATAACTGATAGCTGACATCCATTAAACATGGCACGTGGAACTAGAACAGTCTACTCCAGTGAGCGAAATAAAGGGTTACGTTTGACATTCCAACCAGTTGAAGAAGGCTGGAGTGTACAATGGCCAAAATGTTGTAATAAATATGGCGACAAAGATAAGGGCAATAGCCTGAATAATGTAAATAATGTACATAATACCTCATCTCAGAAATATAGACAAATATAACCCTTTCCTCCTGCAAAAATATGCTTATTCCCTTGACACTACAATTACTGAATAACTTTTGACTCCCTCATCAATATTTATTTACAAGATTATAAAAATATGTGAATCAAGTACAATATAATATTTATTAGCTACCTTTTCAAAAAACAATTATTATTTAACATTTTATAAAGAAATAAATTTATTCAAAAATTTATGAAAATTACAAAATCATCAAAATATGTAAGAGAAAGAGATGCTCTTAACCTAATTTAGTGAATTTATGTGGAAAAAAAAATGAAAAAAATGTCCAGAAAGTACATTTTTGTGAAATTTATAATTACAGTTATTCGTTCTTATGCGTTTATTTAAGTTTTTTGTTCACAGATATTTTTATAATTTTGTGAAAAAAAATTATTTTTATTTTTTTATAAATATGCTAAATAAATATTTCATTATACTTGCTTCACATATCGTTTATATTCTTGTAAATAAACAATCCAATAAATAAATAATGTTTAATATTTTTGTTGTAAATTGTCAAGAAAAAAGAAAATTTATACATCCACATTCATACATTGAGTTTTATAAAAATTCTAATCTTCACTTTTTAAATCAATAAATATTATTGAGAGAGTTAAGTGTATCCAGTAATAGTGTATCAAGGGAATAATCATCCTTTTGACAACATTTTTTTGCAGGCATGAAGGTTAAAAATGACTAAACTTTTTTTTTATCTAGATATTGAAAAAATTAATTAACAGGTGAGGAAAAGACCTTTTACATCTAGGCCAGTTAACATTCCTTTAAAAAATGGATTGTTACTCAAACCATTTAAATCCATTTTTTACCATTGATCTGAAAAAGCAGTTGTATACAGCTGACACTTCAGTTATTTTTTAATTTCATACCATGTATAGCATCAATATGAAGACTATTTAATAAAAGAACATGATGGACAGGCCTAAAACCTGCCATCATAATGTAGAGTGTCATAGGTTATAAATTTCATGTCTTTGGTATTTGTCTAGGTAACATTATCTATCTCTATGTATTTTCAAATTAATAGCCACCCAGTTATTCTCCTGTCGTCAGAATAATGCCTGCCCATATGATGCCTGTGATACTCAACATGCTGTGCTAAATGTTCAGCAATTTCTTTGGCCAGTGTGATAACCAAACATGTTCCCCAATGAAGATATAGAAGACATGATGGGATGACACCTGACTCAGTCATTAAGCCCACCCACAACTATTGCTGTATTGCATCAAATGGTGCCAAGAGGCATAGAATAATGTATCACTTGATGGTATTTGCCATCTATAAAATCATATGCATGTGACTATATAGAATTTGGTACTGCTGTTATGTCCCTTATTTTGGGAGCATGTATGCAGATGCTAATGGTAATGTAGCCATTTGTTTATAAGGAAACATTTCTCATTCGCTGACTGAACAGCCAGTGTTAAATTTGGTTGAAATTTACAAGATCTTTCTATGAAAACAATTTTTCATGAAAATAGGTTTCTCAAGTCTGCTGTTAGAGCTCTTTTCAGTCTTGATGGCGGCTTCCTTCCTAAACTATTGTTTGAACTCGTGTGGAATATCAACATCTTGATTATGTAATTGTTTTCTCTTCAAGTTACATGTGATATCCACTTTAGTTTTTGCTGTTCTTGAAAGTACTCAAGTGATATGGTTTCTTTTGTTGGTACAGTTTTTTTGTCTGTGATTCTGTAGCACCAGTCAACAAGAGTAAAAAAATGATGGTCCTCACGGAGACCTATATGTTTATCATCCATTTAAGGCCATTTTTAACCATTGATCTGAAGAATTAGTTATATACAGTTTTAATGCATGTACAGTACTAGCATCACTCCTTCATAGTAAACCTATAAAATTTTCAGCCCAACTTTGTATAATAGTGTTTATATATAGGACAACTTTGAATTCAAAACCTGCGGAGGGTCGTTTGGGAACCTTGTGGTATGTAGTGAACCAGGTCTCTGTATTTGGCCCTTCAAAAAGTGTGGCTGGTTCTGCACAATACCTTCACCACTATAATCAAATCTAATGTGCTGGACATACTTAATTGATTTGGCCATGTAGGGCTTTCAGTTAAACAAAGCCTGAGATATGCTTTGAACACATTTTTCTCCCCAAATTGTGTATTTGGGCAACAAATACACAATTATATATATATATATATATATATATATATATATATATATAAATATATATATATATTTACATATGCTCTACCTCTGATATTGAGCACTTTATCCCTAAATATACCACCTTAAACTCTTCATATATATATATATATATACATATATATATATATATATATATATATATATATATATATATATATATATATACATACATACAACCGTGGTTAAAATCTTAAGACCAGATACAAAAAGGTTTAAAAAAATATAAAATACTGTTAAATATACGTCCTCCAGCAGAATTCGAAACTGCATCCCCTGTGGGGAAATGTTATTTGATTTGACATGCTTAACTGATTTGGCAACATAGGACTTCCGGTTAAAAAAAGCCT